TTTTTTTGGCCTGTCTTTCCTAAAGGAATCTTGATGTGAATGGAACCAGCATGAAAGCTCCTGTTTAGATTTTTATCACTCTTACCATTGTTGATAGAACGACAACGAGGTAATGCTGATCTTGTTCAGTGACGCTGCTTCCATAAGAGTTCGTTCCACACTTCCATCATCAGATCCTTCATCACTTATCTCTTCGAAGAGTTCAGCTGGCGGAGCACTTTCGCTGGAGTTTCACACCATTTCCGTTTGCATATGAAACCCGTCGTCGCTCTCTCGCCGTAACACTGTTCGAAGTTCATCAGGGTAGTCCAGGTTCGTAAATTACTTCGCTGAGTGCCCCTTGCGCTTCGTTTCCGTAACCGTAGGAGGCCGTCAATATGATCTACTTCTATACTGAAAAGCAAAGCTGAGAGTATATGAAAGTACATTGCCCTGTATGACGCAGCTATTGATCTGGATTCAGTCTGAGACCCGTCCTTCGACTTTTTCAGTGCTAACTTTTCCATAGTACGTTCTCTCCATTTTAGCGATTGTCTATTCCAAATTTACGAAGCAGTGCATGATCCCTCACATTGCTGGGGTGGATCGAATCAGTTGCGGTTGCGAAGTCGATAGATGTAGCTGGAAATGACGGTGTTGCTCGATAATTTGACGTAGAGCGAAGATACAGTCGATGCTATCGATGCGGTCAAGTGTTTCGAAATCCTGTGTGGTTTGCTTGAAGATTTCTTTCAACCATATAGCATATCCATTCCAAAGTGATCATTTAGAATCCTTTTCTGGTGTAGACAGTAAGGTAATTCGCCAATAATTTCAACACTCGACTTTTGAAATTATGAAATTTATGGCTTCCTTCTTTGGTCTTCAAGGAATTTCCTTCTTTGTTCTCATGCGATCCATGTGAAGTTCCTGCGGTTGACCGTTAAACTTTGAGTCTTGCTTTTGGTGGTTGAGCCGCCCTCGCTAATATCAGATCAGCGTGCAAAATTTATTTAAAGCAGGTGTCAATCAGTGGATTTCTTGTTTATTTCGCACTTGCTCTTGCTGTGGCAGAATGTTCAGTACTGCGCCTTGATCATCCTAAGAAAGTTAAATCTCGTGGCCGTGACATAATGACGAGGATCAACCCGACTTGGTGGGAAAACTGTTTGAAATGTTTAATACTGGAAATAATACGATCTGCAGTGTCTTTTGGGAACCTGCACATGATCTCCCGACTGCAAACGCACAGTTACTGATTTTTGTATGGGGAAGCAACGTTACTGTATCGACCCTGGTTTGAACATTCATCGCTTGTGTTCGTAGGTGTTGTTAACCTGGTCTGCCTGACACTGTATCTGGGTCTCACTGGCATCGTTTCTCCCAGGGCTTGACGCCTGACTGGATTTCGCAAAGGTAAGCATTCCCGATTGTTTCACCATTAGGCGTTTGCGACTCTTGGGGCTTCGCATAATTACATAGATTTATCTTGAAGCGGGCCTTTGAGGGGGCTGAAACGTAGACGCCAATCTTCGACGACGTCAACGCTGTCATTCCGAGACCATTGTATGGTGTTGTTTATGTATAAATCTTTTCTGGGTTATTTTTTAGTATGACTACTGACTCGTGAATCATATATTCCGCATTTGCTAGTCGTGGCTTACCGATGTTCTGATGGTTAGCGCGATACCACAACGAGCTTCGTTTCATTCGGCATCAAAGATATTCCGTTTCAGCCGTTGTCCTTTAAATTCAGGATGCGCTGTAACTAAACTAGAACCAACGGAACAAACTGGCACTGTTAGTTTTGGGGCACAGTGATTACTAATGCAGCAGTCAGTCGAATGGGAGTTGCTGATCGTGAAGAAAGCATAATTTAAACGCTAATCGTTTCCTTATCCGTTTGTATAATGTCCGAGTGCTTAAACTGCCAATTATTTTAAAGAGTCGTGCAATGTCCGGAGTATTTTTTGCGATTTATTGGGCTGTGTGATCATCCAGATAGTGGAAACAGCGTGTTTATGAAGAATCGTCGAGTTGAGGTATTCTTGGTTTGCAGTTTCGCTAATCGACTGGCTAATATACTGTTTAAATGTGCACTTGAAGATGATTTCGAACACAGCGCTTTTAAGCGGCATCATCAATCGTTGCAATGTTCCATTTCTTTCCAAGGTGAGGTTGTGGTCAGTGCTACTCGATTATTGCGTTTCGAACAATAGTGTGCACTTTCCTTAGAATCTCAGCAACGGTGAAGCGGCGGTAGAGCGTCATCCTGCATTTCGGGCATTTCAGCCTATTCTTCATAACCTCTTTTTATTAGCCAGGTTCGTATCCGCTAGCTAATTTTCGTGGATCACTAATTTGACTAGCACTGTTTACTGATTGTCAATTTAGATGTCTAAACGGTATTTACCAATCGAGCTGCGTTAATATTCTCCATTCTGCGTACAACGGTTCTCAGGTACTGGACATTCCGAAGGGTGAAAGGTTTGCGATCATGGGTACGCATCATGGTGACAATTTTCTGATTGTCGCCCATTGTTCTGTACTGACAAGCGATCATTCGACCGATCGACATTCGCTTAGGCATGAATGAAATGGCGCTGAATCGCACAGACTCGGATAAAATGTTTCCACGATTGACGGTCGCCCAGCACATCCAAGGGTTTCTCTCAGACATCAGTGATAACTTGTGCGCTTAGAATCGGTCAGTCTATGTTGTTTCGTTTCATATCCGTGTTTATGTTTAGACAAACGCTGCTCGGCTGCTGTATCTCAAAGTTCAGTTCACAATTCTACACGTTGCCTTATTCGTCTATTTATCTCAGCGAATGTATGCTGGGCTTTATTGAGGATGTCCTCGATCAAAGACTTCGCCTGTTAATTCATATCCTTTCTTGGCAAATATTTCGTATTACTTGCGTCAGGGCGCAAACTCTTACAGCTATTTTGCTAGGTTGGTGGGTTGTCATCAGTTGAATTTTGCTGTTTAAAACAGCGCATGCTGCTAAGCTTTTAAACGCAGTTAGTGAAAAATTCTCCTCCCTCCTGAAATTTGTCTTCTTCCCGTAATCTGTTAATGACAGATAGTGAATTAATTAGCAAACTGTTCAGTTTTAGACCAACAACTACGTTAACTATCTCTCCAGCATTGCGAACATTTCAGAGAATTTTTTTTTGATAGTTGATTATAGATCTTCAGAGATTGGAGCATGTCGATTTTAACTTAAATGGTTATATGTCCTTGAAAACAAGTCAACAAATATGTCACCCAGCTTGAAGAACCCCAGGCAGATCCTAGAAGAAATTTAAAGAAAGTATTGGTTCATCTGTTTACTGTCTGCAAGGATCTTCGTTACCGAAATGCTGGTAATGCCCAGTTCGAGCGCTCAGGCTTTCGTATAACACCATTAGATCTGGTGCAACTGGTAATCAAATTCCGAAGTGAAAACACATGGGGAGCACGCTCGGTGAAGAAGCCAGATAGAAAAGTGTAAATACCCCCAAGATGACGCGTCAGCAAACAGGGCTATGGAGATGCGAAAGTTGCATTAAATGCACGGGCAGTGCACGTTGATTGAAACTTAAATATTCCTGCTGAAATGCAACCTGTTTAATGTTCGTAGTTTTGCTCGCCTGAGCGTTGCGCATCTTTCTGTTAGGAGGTGGGTTGCTCAGTCGATTGCAAGTCTGATATGTTTCTAAGTCATTTGCAATACTGACCACCCGTCCTTCATCGTCCAGGTTGGACTCCAAAGTTGAACCAGTATCGCTTAGCTGCTTCCATCTGATGGCCGCGCCAGCCAGTCTTCTCCCTGTATGCTTCTGATATGTTTGTATGTTCGCTACCGCTAAACCTCGTTCGTTTCGAATGCGGAGTCATCATTTGATTGTGAATCGCCATTACTGAAGACTGCACAGTTGTCGTTCAAGTGCTGTTGCAAGAGTAGCCTTTTGTCCGTACGGCATGAGTGGCGGGTGGCGGCAAGACGGAGATTGGTTCTGATGGCGATTGTTATTCACCTTGAAACAGATATTCGAGAGGTTCGCTGAGGTGTAAGAAACAAGCCCAGTGGTGATCACAGTTACCACCGTCGAAAATGATGGAACCGATGTATTTCAGTTGCAAACTTCTTCGGGGGCGCTGATTTGGTGTCACGATTTCATTTGTCCTGTTATGTCTGATTCTTTCACCATGTTATTTCGATCACTTCAGTTTGAGCGTTTTCACTGTGTTATGCTCTGTGCTTCAGGTAACAAATAGTCATCGCTTCAGCGAATAGTTATTGACGCTCTTGTGGTTAGCTTAATTGAAGTGTTTGTTAGGGCTAAATTCCGTATCCAAGAAAGGCAGCAGCAGATCATCTTATCTTGATCTTCTACTCTTCAGATTGAAAGGAAGCTGAATGACAAGAAGCGAGTTTTAGTAAGGGACGATGGCTGGGTGGACTAAAAATTTTTATAACCGTTGGGTTTCTTGTGTAATTTTGAGTATTGTTGCGAAACAGCACAAATAGTGCAATATAGCGTTGTGTTTATCCTATGTGCTGCATATGCTGATTGAAACCCATCTGGCTGCGCCTTTACTGCACATAAGCTACTGTTTTAGCTTTTCGTTTTCTTTAACTCATTGTTTACGCAAAGCCCTTTTGCCTACACTTGCCACTGTGCCTTCGCAATTTATCGGTCAAGTGTTGCCGGCGCTCTCTTTGTTACTGAGCCACTGTTACCAAAGACTTTCGGCCCGTTGGCAGTACGTCGATGAAAGAGAAAGCGCCGGTGAAGAGCCTGAGTCAGTGGAAGCTTCAAAGCAGAGCATTTTCGTTGAACATATGGCAACTATACTGACCAGGGAGCTGATTACGTGTTTGCGAAAAGCTTTGCTAGCTGACGAGGCCATTGCATCAGCACAAAAATTGAACGCTGCTAGATGCTCAACTGCTTCCTTAAATATTGAAACGGCAGTCGTCGATGAAATCATGAGTGATCCTGACGCATGTGATCCAACGTCTCCAGGTACTGCCTCACCCAACGGCGTCGCTCCTACAGCAGCGTCTGCAGATCTCTTGAGCGAGCTTGGTAAGAGGATGTGCGAACCTCAGGTAGGTTCTCTTATTGCATGTTCAGCTCTTCGTGCTATGACGTTCAGCAATTTCGTTTTCAGGCTGAATGCCACGTTCCACTGATTTTGTTGCTGTTCCACTGTTTGGTTTGGGGCGATTCGGTTTCGGCTGTAGCGGCACTACCTCTGTGCAAGGTGGTGATGTCTAGGGTAGGTGATTCGTTAATATTTGAGTTTAATATTTAAGTGAAATGATATTCCTGTGCGCATTTTTCACAATTTTTTACCAGAGTCATGAAAATGATTTTTCCATTTGAAGCGTATCGGGTACTATTATTGCTAAGCTGTGACTGACGTAACATTTTTCTTCAACCATTAGTGAGTGAATAGCATATGAATGCTCAACTGATCTAGTATCCATATAAGAGGATCCGTGAGTCAGCGTTCGCTAGCCAGAAATAGTAGGCCAGCTCAAACCTGTTCCTTATTCTGTGCTGTGTCAATCAAGTGTTTCCATAAATTCGTTCTATTCCTACGCAGAAGGTTATTTTGAGCACTGATCTTCATCTTCATCAGCCATGATTGCTTTTCCTTTTGAGTCGCGGACGCAGACGCGTCAGACAGTGCTACCAATGTTCCCGATTCTGTGACAGAGTCTCAGCTTCTGCAGAAGACAACCGGAGTCCGGGGCAGCCTCCTTCCATATATTTACACCAGGTTAATCTTGGCCTTCTCCTGAGCGTTCCGCCGGCCGGTTTCCCAACAGAGAGATGATTAGCCTTCCTTTCTGGAGGCATTCGC